ACCCCTGATCACCTTCTCTTTTCTGATTGCTCTAGCCAGGACTAATACTATGTTGAACAGGAGGGGTAAGAGTGGGCATCCTTGTCTTATCCCAGTTATCAGGGGATATGGTTCCAATTATTGTCTGTTTAGGAGTATGCTGGCTGTGGGTTTCTCGTAGATGGCTTTTACTAATTTGAGGTATGTTCCACATATGCCTAGATGTTCGAGGGTTTTTATGAAGATGGGGTGCTGTATTTTATCAAAGCTTTTTCTGCATCTAATGATATAATCATGTGGTTTTTGTTTTGACATCTGTTGATGTATGTAATTACATGTATGGTTTTACGAATGTTGAAGCAGCCTTGCGTCCCAGGGATGAAGCCCACTTGGTCATGATGGATGATTTTTGAGATGTGTTGTTAAATTTGGTTTGCTAGGATCTTGTTGAGAATTTTAACATCTATGTTCATCAAAGATATTGGCCTGTAGTTCTCTTTCTTTGTTAGGTCTTTACCTGGCTTGGGTATCAATGTGATATTTGCTTCCTAAAATGATTTGGGGAGGGTTCTATCTTTCTCAATTGCCTAGAACACTTTCAGTAGGATTGGTATCAGCTCCTCTTTAAATGTCTTGTAGAATTCTGCTGGAAAGCCATCTGGTCTAGCGCTTTTTTTTGTAGGTAGTTTTCTTATTACGTAGTCAATTTCCTTGATTGTTATTGGTCTATTTAGAGTCTCGATTTCTTCTTGTTTCAACCTATGTGATGTCAGAAAGTTCTCCATTTCCTTAAGGTTTTCAAGTTTGTTTCCATACAAGTGTGCATAGTAGTCTCTAACGATCTTTTGTATTTCTTCAGGGTCAGATGTGACTTCATCTTTTGTGTTTCTGATTGTGTTTATTTGGGGTTTTTCTCTCTTTTTGTTGGTTGGTCTAGCTAGGGGACCATTGATTTTGTTTATCCTTTCAAAGAACCAGCTTTTTGGTTCATTGATTTTTTTGTATTATCTTTTTGTCTTCTGTGTCCCGGATTTGGGCTTTTATTTTGGTGATCTGGATTTTTCTGCTGAAGGTAGGGTTTTGGTGGTCTTGCTTTTTGCTTCCTTAGGTGACTTGTTAGACTGTTAATTTGTGATCCTTCCATTTTCTTCATGTGCATTTGTAGAGATATGAATTCCCCTCTCACTACAGCTTTCATGGCATCCCAGAGATTTTGGTAAGATGTTTCTTGATTTTCATTTGTTTCCAGGTATCTTTTAATCTCTGTTTTGATTTCATCATTGACCCAGGAGTTGTTTAGCATCATGCTGTTTAGTGTCCATGTCTTTGTGGATTTTGGGGGAGCCTTGTTGGTGTTGATGTTTATTTTTATTCCACTGAGAAGGTGCATGGCAAAATTTTGATCTTTTGAAATTTGTTTATGCTTGATTTATGAACAAGTATGTGGTTGATCTTAGAGTACGTTCCATGTGGTGATGAGTAGAATGTATATTCTGTGGTCGTTGGATGGAGTGTTCTGTAGGTATCAATTAAGTCCATTTGGTCAAGAGTCACACTGAGGTTCTGGATCTCGTGGCTGATTTTTTGTCCTGATGATCTGTCTAGGGTTGTAAGTGGAGTATTAAATTCCCCAGCTATGATAGTGTTAGAGTCAATATCTTTTTTTGAGTTTACCTAGAAGCAGCTTTATGAAAGTTTGTGCTCCTATTTTGGGTGCAGTTTTGTTTAGGATGGATATTTCTTGTTGATGAATCGAACCTTTTATCATTATGTAGTGGCCTTCTGTATCTTTTTAAATTTTTGATAGCTTAAAGGATATTTTGTCTGAAATTAAGATCACGACTCCTCCTTTCTTTTGTGTTCCGTTCGCCTGTAAATTTGTTTCCCATCCTCTTACTTTGAATCTGTCAGTGTTCTTTCTAGTGAGGTGAGTCTCTTAAAGGCAATATTGTTGCCTGGTAATATGTTATCCATTTTGCCATTCTATGTCTTTTCAGTGGTGCATTTAGTCCGTTCACATTCAAACTAATTACTGAAATGTGAGAGTTGATACCTCTCATAAGGTTCTTACCAAGTTGTTGTTGTTCCTGTTTGTTTGTTGTCTTTCTTTTGTTTTGGGAGTTGGTTTATGTGTGCTTTAAATCTTTTTCCTGTACTCTTGTGAAGAATGTTGTTTTTCTTTTTTCTTTTTCTTCTGTGTTCAATACTTTCTTTTATTTTTAATTTTTATTTTATTTTATTTTATTTTTTTGAGTTGGAGTCTCACTCTGTCGCCCAGACTAGAGTGCAGTGGCTGCTCCCAGCCACCACAGCCTCGACCTGCTGGACTCCGGCAATCTTTCTGCCTCAGTCTTCCAGGTAGCTGGAACTACAGGCACGCGCTACCATGCCCGGCTAATTTTTGATTTATTATAGAGATGAGGTCTCGCCAAGTTGCCCAGGCGGATCTTGAACCCGCGGGCTCAGGCAGTCCATTCACCTCAGCTTCCCAAAGGCGTGTGATTACAGGCTGAGCCACCGAGCCCAGCTAATACTTTCTTAAGTGTTTCTTGTAGAGGTGATCTGGTGGCACCGTAAGTTCTTAGGATTGGATATCTGGGAAAGATTTCAGTTCTCCCTCATTGATGAAGCTTAGTTTGGCTGAGTAGGTTATTCTCGGTTGTAATTGTTTAGTTTTTAGACTTTGAAGATAGGGCTCCAAGCTCTTCTAGCCTGAAGGGTTTCTGTAGATAAATCTGCTGGTGTTCTAATTGGTCTTCCCTGGTAGGTAGTCTGACCTTTTTCTCTTGCTGCCTTTAGGATTTTTTCTTTTAAAGCTACTTTGTTTATGTGAATTATTATGTGTCTGGGAGTTGGTCTTCTCATTTGTTGTCTTGCAGTGGTTCTCTGAGTTTTTGCATCACTGATGATATGAGGGAAGTTTTCTGAATGATTTCATGAAATGGTTGTTCCAGTGTGGTCTCTGTTTCTCTTTCTGCCTCAGGAAGGCCAATTACTCTTAGGTTCGGTGTCTTGAAGTAATCATTCATCTCTTGCAGGTTTTGTTCTGTCTTTTTAAGCTCCTTTTCTATGTTTTTGACAGTTTGGGTTAGTTCTGTATTTTTGTCTTCAAGCTCTAGGATTTGTTCTGCTTGGCTAATTCTGCTTTCCTTGCTTATTAGTTTGTTAGTTATTTCCCTCAGACTATTCTTTTCTGCTGTTATTTCTGTCATCAGCTCCTTCCTATTTTCCTCTTGTCACTTCTCAATTTTTTTATTCTCTCTACTAATGTCTTGATGTCTGGGTTTGTTGCATGTGACCACTCATTCTGAGGCTCTTCATTGTTTGTGTTCCGAAGTCTGTTTTCTCAGTGTCTGACCTCTCCGGGGTCTGTGTGAGACGTATATTCTTCTTTTGGTTTTTCTTCATTTGTGCAGGTTTTTTCTCCTTACTTTTTCCTTCTTTCCACTTTCCCATCTTCTTTAATTTTGTTATTCAGATGTGGAGGGGTTGCTTTTTACTTCTGTTTGTTCAATCTCCTATTCTTCCTTATGTATATCCTCTTGCTTTGTTCAGTTCTGGAGTTGGACTGTAGGTTGGGGGAGGTCCTTTTTGCAGTTTTGAGATTTAATTAAGGGGGGAGCTGTGATTCAAAGTCTATCTTCAGATCCCGGTATCCACCGACTGGTATATGGATAATCTGAAACCCACTGCCCACTGCCTTGGAATCTGTCCATGCAGTGGGGTTGTAGGTTTACTTCCTGTAAGCCAAATGAGGTTAACAGAGGGAAGAGAATGGAGCAGGCAGTGAGTGGAAGTGGGGGGTGGAGATAGAGGTGTAAGAGGGAAAGCAGACAAGCATACTGACTAACAAATGAAAAGAGACACAAAGACTGAAACAAGTAAAAAGGAAAAACAATAACAATGACTACAAACTAACCAACAATAATAGGAAAAAACTAAAACATACAATGATGCTAACATACAAGTTATCCAACCTCCTCATTAGTGTGCTATTCCTCTATACAAAGATGGGGTTTACAGAGAAATAAAAAACAAAAAAAGAACAAAACAGACGGAATAGAATAAAGTCAGTAAACTAACATAACCAACCAACCATACTCTGAGACTTTTCCTTTAAGTCCAGTGTCCTTTCAGCTCTGATTTCCAGCTGTCTTTGCAGGCTGGTAGATTTTTTCACCGTTAGGGTTGGCTGCCCCTGGCCTGCTGTGGAGGTTGGTTCAGATCTGGGCTCCCTGCCCAATCTGTCACTCAGATCTGGCCTATTTATCAAGGGGAAAGAGCTTCTGTCTTTCCCATTTTGATGTTGTTACCTTGGATCCCCAGCAGTGGTGCTATCTCGCCACTCTAGTTGATCTTTATTTACAGCAGCTGGAGACTGCCTGGTACTGTACACGGAGGTTGGCAGGAGGTTGGCAGAAGTTGGCAGGCGGCTGCCCAGGTCGGGAGGGAGCAGGCAATGGTAGTGGAGGTGGCAACAGTCGCCTCACAGTACATGGAAGATGTTCCATGAACCTGGCTCCTGGCAAGGGGCTGAACGTGGCAGTGGCAGCAGTGGCAGCTATCTCAGTAGATGGTACTTGCAGGGGCTTCACGGTCCAAAGTCATGGGTTGCCTCAGGCATGGGCGGTGTGATGGCTGCACTGTGGCATCCGTGGCTGCAGTGGTTGCCCAGACTGCCAAGGTGTTTGAGCAGTGGCCACGGCTGAGCTCCGTGTGAAGAGCAGGCTGCCGACCATGGGAGCTGCAGCCCCTGGAAGAGAGCTAGAGCCTTTATGTGTGTTCTCTTTCAAGGAGGGTCTCACACACCAAGTTGCCCCATTGCCATCATGCTGGACATCCTCAAAAATGATACATTTCATTTTTCTGGTACATGAATAGTAATTTTAAGTCATTTATAATATAATTTGGGTCTACGTTTCATTTCATTAAGAATCAATGAACTCAAGAAGAAAATTTGTTAACCTGACCTGTTTTCTTTTTTCTCTCCTTTCCCCTCCTTCCTTTAAAAAAAAATATAGCAAAAATCTGGAGAAAAACCTGTTCCAGGTATGACTCATCTGATATTTTTATTACACTTGAAAAAAGACCAAGCAGCTTGTAACTCAGTATCAACTGCAGCATGTGAGATGACTGGTTATTTTGTCCTCCTGGACTCTCATTATAGTTTGGCATGCACACTTTGAGACCTACTGAGTTGCCAACAGGTGGTGCCTTTGTAGTAGTGATTTTGGTATTTAAAAGATGATTTGGGGTGGAAAGAGTAGGTATTTAGGAGGTGTGAAGAAGCCAAGGTGAGTTGAGGTTTTTAGTTCAAATCTCAGTTCTGTTATAGCCCTGAAAACAGATATTGAACTCTCCATAGAGTAATGATGTATCTTGCTTTTACATAATGTCTTATTTAAACGTTATATGGTTTTGTCTGGTATCACTAATTTCCTTATCAGGTTGTTAGATTTATACTGGGTTCTGGTATATGTCTTCCTGGGAAGCAGCTAAATTTAGAACTTGAGATAAGCAGTTAAAAACATCTGAAAGAGTGAACCATTTGTGTAAACCATTGTCTAAATTTATCTCTTCACCTTCTAAAAAAAAAAATCTACTTTTGATGTCTAGTGGATCAAACAAAGAGAGAGGCAGAGCCTACACCAGAAACTGTAAAGTCTGAGGAGAAGGAGACCACAAAGAACATCCAACAGCCTGTGAGTGCTAAGGGCCCCCCTGAGAAACGCATGAGACTTCAGTGAATGTCGACAAAAGGGAGGCCTTGCAGGGCTCGCAGGGTGGCTCTGAGCCTGCAGCATTGTGTTTGGCTGGGGAGCTTTTATGTACTTTGTCATAGCCTTCTTATTTGCATGAAATGCATATGTTCTTTATGAAGAGGCATAGTTCCCATCTTGCCTTCTGGGTCAATATTTCTCATGTGTCTTTTGTAATCTTTCTTCTACTAGATGGGAGCAGCCCACCTACTCATGTATATTATCACTTTCAAACAAAATAAAGGTATTTGTATATATTGCTTCATCATGACTTTTCCCCCTTACTGCTTTCTTTGCAGTTTTTCAAATGTACTTTGAAGACACAAAGACTATTAAAGTAGTGACTAAGCACATTTCCCTGTATTAGCTACATATTTCTCTGTATTAAAATAATAAACTGTTCTTAACAGTTTGGAAGAAGAAAAAAGGAAAACCTGTACTCACTAATATAATTATGCTGCAAATACTGTAACAACATTGTGAATTTTCTTTTAGTCTTTTTATGCATGTAATTAATTTTTAATAAAGAAAAATTTATTTTACAGTTACGGAGGCTGAGAAGTTCAAGGTCGAGGGACCACAATTTGTGAGGGCCTCTTGCTGATGGGGACCCTGCAGAGCCTTTTGTTTGCACAGGGTATCTCATGGTGACGGCGCTGAGTGCTCTCTGCATGTAAATTCTTTCAAAACCAGAGTTTGTAATCCTGATCATACAATTTTGCTTTATCATATTGTTGTATATGTTGTAAGCTTTTGCCATGTTTACTTAGCTGGTATAGATCATTTGTTTTAGTGATAGAATGCTTTCTTTTTTGTTCTTTTTGTTTGTTTGACTGAGGATCTCATTCTGTTGCCCAGGCTCTGTTGCCCAGACAGTGGCACAGTCATGGCTCATTATAGCCTCAACCTCCTGGGCTCAGGCGATTCTGCTGCCTCAGCCTCTCAAGTAGCTGGGATTATAGGTGCACCACCACACCTGGTTAAGTTTTTGATTTTTTGTAGAGATGGGGTCTCACGGTGTTGTCCAGCATATGGGCTCAAGCAGTCCTCCCACCTTGGCCTCCCAAAGTTCTGGGTTTACAGGCATGAGCCACTGCACCTGGCCAGTGACTGAATACATTCTATGAGTTATTATATCTCAGTGTTCTTAAATTCTTTCTGTGTTACATTTGGATTTTTTTCTCCAATTTGCATTATTTTAAATAAGGGCATAGTGATTACTTTTGTGTATGATGTCTTTTCAATATTTAGTATTTATTTCCTTGGGTTAGAGTTGCTCTTAGTCCATATTGCCAAGTTGTTTTTCTCAAAAAAGTTTGGACTCCAGTTACCACTAAACAGCAACTATAATAATGTACCAGGTTTTCTAGAATTGCTGCCACTGAGTATTGTCCGTCTCTCTGTCTTTCTCTCTTTCTCTCTCTCTGTATATGTAACAAGTACACACACAGCCTCCTTTTATGGAGAGTCAGTTGCAGTCATGCTCAGTTCCCTAAATACTTTAGTGTATATTTCCTAAAATCAAAAAAATTCTCTTAAGATCCTATTATCTAATCTATAGATCTTATTCATACCTTGCCAATAATTTATTTATAGCAAAAGAAAACCCTGAATCACGGATTGGATTTAGTTGTCCTGTCTTTTCAGTCTCCCTTAATTTGGAATGGTTCTTTAATCTTCCTTGTTTTCATGACCTTGATATTTGGACAGTTGAGATCTTTTATTTTATTGAATGTGTCTCAACTTGGGTTTGTTTGATATACTCTCTGGAATAAATTCACTCATGCATTTGTGTTAGGAACACCATAGAAAAGATGCCCACAAAGACACATGCTGTCTACTTGCCCTATTCCTGGTGATGTTAACGTTGATTGTGTGGTTAAGGTAGTGTCTATAAGCTTGCTCTACCATAAAGTCATTTTTCCTTTTGTAAGTTATAAGTATCTTGTGGGGACATATTCTGAGGCTCTGTGGGTATCCTGTTGCTTCTGAAACTTTTTACTCTCTAGCTGCCCTCCACTGATAATTCTTTCCTGAATCATTTATTACTATGATGATTGTCAATTGTGATTTTCTAATTCCGTAATTGTTTCCATGTTTATTAATTGGTCTTGTGCTCTAAAGAAAAGCTTTCATTCTGCCCCTATGTATTACATCATTATGAAACCCTGGATTCTTATTTTATTCAATGGGTATATTTCTTTACTGTCATGTATGTTGATGTTCAAATTGTCCTAGATTGGATCAGTGGGAGCCCTTTAAGTTTCTCCCTCTGTTCTTCTGATATGAGCCTGTCATTCATCTAGTGTTTGTTTTTAATCACAGTAAGATATTCCACCTCAACCCTGGCTCCAGCCTCTTTTTTAAGGGTTCCTATTCCTGTTAGAATACATTTGGAAGTCAAGGTCTTAGTGGTTGGTGTGTTCATTGTTGCTGCAGTGTCAGTGCTTCTAGGCCTTTTCAACTGACAGGAAGTAGGCATGAACATATGTGTGTGTGGGTGTCTTTGTGTCTGTCTATATTAAAGGCCATCATCATTTCATACTGATGTCTCCCATCTTAGTTCACCACCACAGGGCTCGTTGTGTTCTCTTCCTTATTGGCAATGCTCTTCCAAGTTGTTGAGAATTCTGGTTCCCATTGTCCGTAATGTATTTGCTTAATCTCAGAATAACAGTGTAGTTTTGGAATTGCTAACCTATACCTCTGCCAAAAAAAAAAAAAAAAAGGTCCTCTAATTAGAGTTCAGTCTTTGCTATGAGTTCTGATCTTTAGCCTGAGGCTATATAATACAGTACCTACTATGTTAGGCATTTACTTGGGTTCTTTTTCTTCTTCAATGTGGTTGTTACTCATTTAGTAGCTGGTTCAGTTAATTTTTGTTTTGATTTCTGTTTTAGTTTTTCCTCTTGTTCTTAATGATTTCTGTCTTCTTGTTTTGTTTGGAGGCATGTGAAATGTTAATGGATTCCGAATATCAGAATTGTCTGAAAGAGATTTTAAGTATTAATATCATACGTCCTTCTCCTCACCCCTACTTATTTGTCCTCTCCTTCCTGCTTCGTTCCCACTTACCCTCTCAAAGTAACCAATCTAATTAGTCCTTGGTTTACCTTTACTGTTTTGGGTGGGTTGTGGGGCCACAAGCAAATATTTTATTTTCCTTTCTCGCACGAAGGCAGCATCTAATGTAAACTCTTGCTAATTGCTTATTTTCCACTTATTTAAACATGAACTTTTATTGTAAAGATATTGATTCCTTCTTTGTATTACTTGCTTGAAGTATTTTTCCAGCTTTTGTTTTTCCAGCAAAGCTCCTTTTCTTTCAACTACATCATGGTAAAATACCACATACAAACAGTACACAAAATAATGGAGTAGAACTCATTGTACCTGTGTAACTTGCCATGCAGGTTAAGAAACTGAGTGTGGCCAGTTCCCTGGAAGCTCCTTCATGTACCCTCCTGATCATAATGCTTGTCCCATCAATCAGAGGTCACCTTTACCCTCAATTTCATGGTAATCGCTTGCCTTTTCAGTTTTACCCCATAACCATTCATCCCTAAATAAATGCTTAATTTTGATTGCCTGTTTTTAATGTAGATGAAATTCATGTGCATTTTATGTATGGCTTCTTTTGCTCAATATTATGTTTTTGAGGTTCATTAAAATTGCTTCATGTTGTAGTTACTTTAATATCTATACCATATTCTATTACATAACTATTACAACATTTGAGTTCGTTTGAATGGTGATGGACATTTGGATTGTAGTTTGAACTATTATTAAAAATTGTTTCTATGATATTTGTACAAACTTCTAATATGACATTTTATGAATATTATAATGCTGTTTGGTGTATGTTATAGGCTGAATTTTGTCCTGCCCACTCCAAACAAGATATGTAGAAGTCCTGACTCCCAGTACCTCAGAATGTGACCTTATTTGGAAACAGGGTCATTTCAGACGAGGCTATGCTGGAGTAGGGTGGACCCCTTACCTGATATGACTGGTGTCTTTATTTAAAAAAAAAAAAAAGTGAGGAGATTAAGGGAGAATGCCATGTGAAGACGGAGAATCAGTGTATCTACCAGTCAAGGAATGCCAAAGATGGTTGGCAAGTCACCTGATGCTAACAAGAGGCAAAGGAGGAGTCCCCTTCAGGTTTCAGAGTAAGCACGGCCCTACTGACACCTCGAGTTTGGACTTTATGCTTCCAGAACATTGAGAGGATAAATTTGTTGTTTAAGTTTTTCAGATTGTTGTACTTTATTACGGCAGCCCTAGGAAACAAATAATGTGTACATGTGCTTATTTCACTGTTGTATTCAAATTGCTGGATTATAAACCTGCCTTTATTCAACTTTAGTTGATGTGAAAATATTTAACAAAGTGTTTATACCAGTTTATACTCCAACCAGCAGAGTACAGGTTCCAGTTGTTCCACACCTTTGTTAACACTTGATACTGTCAAAGAAAAATTTAGTCATTCTGGTGGGTATTGAGTGGTATCTTTTTGAGGTTGCAGTTTATATTTCCTGGTAATTGATGATGCTGAGCATCTTTTCATTATTCTTAGGTATCTCTGGATATTCATATTTGTGAAGTGTGCTCAGACATTTTACACATTTTTTATTGGTTCATTTTATAGAGTCTGAAGCGTTATTTGTCTGTTAAACATTTTTAACTTTCTTTTCCTACCCTAGATGAACAGAAGTTCTTAATTTTAATGTCTCAGTTTGTCAAACTTGTTCTTTATTGTTAATGCTTTTTTTGTGTGTCTCATTTGAGTTATAAAGATACTTTCCTGTTATAGAAGCTTTATTACCTTATATTTCACATTCAAGACTATCTGTTTGGTTACGATTGACCTATAGGTCAGTTTGGGGAGAACTGACATTTAAACAATATTGAGTCTTCAGAATCACAAACATGGTATGTTTCTCCATTTATTTAGGTTTTTAAAATTTTGTTTCAGGAAAACTTTGTGTTTTCACAGTACAGTTCTTGAACATGTTTTAAGTTTATCCCTAAGCATAACGTGGTTTTTGATGCTAATGTGAAATAGATTTCAAAATGCTTTTTCCATCAGCTTGTATTTAGTATGTAGACATAGAGTTGCTTTTGTATAATTGGACTTGTATTTTGTTACCTTACTAAATTCAATTAACAGTTCTGGTCACTTTCTTGTGTATTCCTTAGGATTTTCTGCATCTATAATTATGTCAGCCCTAAATAAAAAAGAAGTTTGTTTTCCTTTTCAAAAATGTCTTTTTTCTTTAAAATTGTGGTAAGTGTACATAGCATAATGTATCATTTAACCATTCTTTTTTTTGAGTTGGAGTCTCACTCTGTCGCCCAGACTGGAGTGCAGTGGCCACTCCGGGCCACCGCAGCCTCGATCTGCTGGGCTCTGGCGATCCTTCTGCCTCAGCCTTCCAAGGAGCTGGAACTACAGGCGCGTGCTACCAAGCCAGGCTCATTTTTGATTGATTGTAGAGATCAGGCGGGTCTCGAACCCGCAGGCTTAGGCAATCCACTCACCCAA